CTCTACCACTTTGAGCCACAGCTCTATTTCCAGTTTTCTGGTAGTTAATTGGAGATAAAAGTCTCACAGACTTTTCTGCCCAGGCTGGCTTTACACCACAATCCTCAGATCTCAGCCTCTGGAGTAGTTAGGATTATGAGTCACCAGCACCCAGCTGATGTCTTTTTCTTTTTCCTTTTCTTTTTGTGCCAGTATTGGAGCTTGAACTCTAGGCCTCATGCTCTTGCTTGGCCTTACATTTGAATGCCTCAGCAGGCATCAAATTGTGATAGTTAGATTTTAGCCTCTGAGTAGCTAGGATTATAGGTATGAAAGACCAATGCCTGGTTCTTACTGGTGTCTTTAAGAATGTTAGTATCTAGCCAGGCCCAGTGGCTCATGCCTGTAATTCTATCTACTCAGGAGGCTGAGATCTAAGGATCGGGGTTCAAAGCCAGCTGGGGCAAGGAAAGTCTCTTATCTCCAATCAACCTCCAAAAAACTGGAAGTGATGCTGGGGCTCAAGTGGTAGAGTGCTAGCCTTGAGCTGAAGAGCTGAGGGACAGTGCCCAAGCCCAGAGGTCAGAGGCAAGCCCCATGACTGACGCCACCGCCCCCCTAAAAAAAAAAAAGTGATATAGTGCTAGTCTGAGTCAAAGAACTCAGGGACAGTGCCAGGCCCTGAGTTCAAGCCCCACAACTGACAAAAAGAAAAAAAAAAGAATGCTAGTATAGATGCATAGAGAAATAAAATTTTCTAAGACAAGACACTTACGATTGGTACAACATTTATTAGCCTTTTTTGTTCAGAGGGGCAGGCCCTTTTCTAAACAGAACTGTTTTTCTGACATCCAGACAGGAAACAGCCACATGTGCAGGGCCTAACATTTGTTTATATCTCAAGTTGTAGCAGAAGTATCTCTTAGAGCAGTAGTAGTTACCCCTTGGGATCCCTAGGAATGGTTAAGATTTGAGGATGTCCAGCTCCTACAAAAACCTTCAAGGCTCTCAGTTCCAGGAACGTAGCCTTTGCCCAAGTCACAGCCAAGGAATAGAAATCTTGTATAAGATAAACAATACATTGTACAAAAGAAAGGATGATCATCTTCATAGCAGAATGGCTGATCTCTATTTTTCTTTCTCTATAAAGACACTAAATTCTATCTAATATTATAAAAAGCAATCTACAAATTCTCAGCAATCCTATACCCCTTAAGTGTTGGGAAAGTAGAGCCAACAAAGCCTAAGATAGCAATGTAAAGCTTCAGGGTCACATTAGAATAGCAGGACCATTTGATGAGAAATTGTGCAGCAGAGCAGGGCAGAGAACTGGTAAGAACAGCCCTCCTCCTACACCCTTCCTTAGGGCAGAGTTTCACATGGTGGGCGGGGGCAGAAAGCTAGAAATTTAGGATTGAAGCTGGACATTGGTGGCTCATGCCTGTAATCCTAGCTACTCAGGAGGCTCAGACCTAAAGATAGTGGTTCCAAGGCAGCCCAAGCAGAAAAGTCTGTGAGACTTTTCCAATAACCAACAAAAAGCTGGAAGTAGAGTGTGGCTCAAGTTGTAAAGAACCAGTCTTGAGCAAAAAAGTCACACTGTGTGTGTGTGTGTGTGTGTGTGTGTGTGTGTGACACTGGAATTTGGCATCAGGAGTAAAGGGAAGAAGAAAGGAAAAGGTTATTCTAGACCTGAAGGAAACAAAAGAGAAGTGAAGAACTAGAGGTGTGTGGTGTGCGTAGTACTTACCTAGTATATGGAAAGTGCTAAATACAACAATAACTAGAGGACAGTGAGAAGGAGAGAGGGAGAAAGAGAAATTCTACCCAGTGCTGATGCTCCCCACCAAAGACCAATAGTGGTCTGCATCAGTTCAACCTTATCAGCTATTTTAAAATGCTAAAATTCTTCTGTAGCGGAAAGGCGGCCCTATCCTAGGCATTCCAAGTATCTTCCAACTGTCCTGGTCTGACCACAGGACCTTGTACCATCCAGCACAGCAGGCATCCTCCAGGATTCTCTTTAGAACCATGACTAGCAATTAACCTGAGTCTTTGCGGCCCCTTCCATATACTTGCTCTTCTTTTGTCTCTCACTCCCAACTTCAGTTAGTCCGGCTTAGAATGCCTGATTTCCCATCCTTAGAGGGCAGCATTATGACGTGGGAGGTGGGAGGGAGTCAGATATAGAAATATCAGAGGAAATGTAGTTCTTAGTAGTCAGAAGTCATCAGGGGTCCATCTGTGTCAAAATGGCTTGGGCAGGAGATGTAAGCTTCATCCACAATGTTCTGGCCTACCAGCAGTGGGTCGCCATGTGGCATGATTTCATCAATCTTTATACCGCTGAAAACTAGGTAATAAAGAAGGAAAAATCAGGCCCACAGTTAACTTGAGAGTTCCCAACCCAGCAGAGAGTGTGAGGGAGCAAGGCAGTAAAGGCCTGGACAGGATGTAAGAGGAGATGGGGGGCTGGAGGAATGGTATGTGGTGGCAGCAGGGGATTAAAGAAACAAGTGTATTTCCTAGAGTCAGGATCCTTTCCTAACCTAAAGGAATCTGACTCTTATAAGAGGTTGGAGCTCAGCCTTTCTATAATAGGTGAGGGGAAGAAGTAGGAGAAGGATTGGGTCCCCTTTTCCCTGGCCCTGTCTCTCCGTTACTTACTTTCCATTCCTTCAGTCTCCAAGTATCGCAGATCACAGGGCAAATCTGGCTCTGGCTGTAATGCAGGTTTCAATTCTGGCTCCAGCATTCTTGGTGAGATCATGCATAGTGTGGGTTCGAGCCCAGGTTCTAGCTTGGGCTCTTGTGCTGAGCCGGGTTCCAGTGCTGAGCCCAGATCCAGCCTGGAGCCCAGATCCAGCCCTGCCTGGAGCAGTGGCTCCAACTCCAGGTCCAGACTTTGCTCTGGCATCAGCTCTGACTCGAGTTCTGGGTCCAGTTCAAGTTCCTTGGGTTGTAGCAGCTCATCCGTCTGTCTTCCAATCACAAAACAAAGTAGGGCTTGGCAGTTAAGGTGAAATAAGGTATGGTATAGCAAGGAGAGATTGTCTCTCTATTCTAAAAAGTCAATAGGGAAGCCAGGCGCTGATGGCTCACACCTGTAATCCTAGCTACTCAGGAGGCTGAGATCTGAGGATCATGGTTCAAAGCCATCCTGGGCAGAAAAATCCATGAGACTCTTATCTCCAATAAACCACTCAGAAAACTGGAAGTGGTGCTGTGGCTCAAATGGTAGAAAGCTCGCCTGAGCTGAAGAGCACAGGGACAGTGTGCCCAGACCAACAGTTCATGCCCCATGACTGACCCCCCCCCAAAAGAATATAACTACCATATGATATAGCTTTTCTAATTGCTGGGTGCATTTCTTTTTCTTTCTTTCTTTTTTCTTTCTTTCCTTTTTTTTTTGTTGGTTGTGGGGCTTGAACTCTGGGCCTGGATTATAGGTATGAGCCACCAGTGCCCAGCTTGCTGGGTATATTTCCAAAGGAAATGAAATCACTATATAAAAAAGATACTGACAAGCTGGGTGGTGGCTCATGCCTGTAATCCTAGCTACTCAGAAGGCTGACATCTGAGAATCACTCTTCAAAGCCAGGAAAGTCCATGAAACTCTTAGCTCCAGTTAACCATCAGGAAAAATTTGGAAGTAGCACTGTGGCTCAAGTGGTAGAGCACTAACCTTGAGCAAGTTCAGGGACCTAGGCCCTGAGTTCAAGCCCCATGATCACAAAACCAAACCAAAACAAAACAAAACAGGAGCCGGGCGCTGGTGGCTCACGCCTGTAATCCTAACTACTCAGGAGGCTGAGATCTGAGGATCGCGGTTCAAAGCCAGCCCGGGCAGGAGAGACCGTGAGACTCCTATTTCCAATAAACCACCAGAAAACCAAAAGTGGTGCTGTAGCTCAAGTGGTAGAGCACTCTCCTTAAGCTGAAGAGCTGAGGGGCAGTGCCCAGGCCCAGAGTTCAAGCCCCACGACCGACAAAACAAACAAACAAACACGATATCTACATTCCCATGCTTATTGCAGAATACTCGCCAAGAAATGAAATCTCTGAGATGATGTATATATTTTAAAAATGGAGCATTACTCAGCTGGTATTTTGTATGTGTGTATGTTAGTAGTTTGGCTTTTTCACTCATGGTTGATACGCTACCACATGAACCACAACTCTAGTTCGAGCTTTCTGATGGTTAATTGGGAATAAGAGTTTCATGGATTTGTCTGGTTAGTCTGGCCTCTAATTGTGATCTTCAGATCTCAGATCTTCAGATCTGAGTAGCTAGGATTATAGGCATGAACCACCAGTACATCCAGTATTTTCTTTTTTTTTTTTTTCTGCCAGTCTTGGGGCTTGAACTCAGGGGACTGAGCACTGTCTCTGAGCTTTTTTTTGCTCAAGGCTAGCACTCTACTTGAGTTACAATGCCACCTCCCGCTTTTTCTGTTTATGTGGTACTGAGGAATCGAACCCAGGGCTTCATGTGTGCTTTGTAAGTACTCTACCACTAAGCCACATTCCCAGCCCAGCCAGTATTTTCATCAAATGAAATACTATCATTTTTGGCAACACAGATGGAATTTCAGATACCATATATCCTCGTTCATTTGTGGAAGCTAAAACAAGAAGTGGAGAGTAAAAAAATGGTTACTAAAGCCAGGCATCGATAGCTCACGCCTGTAATCCTAGCTACTCAGCCTGGGCAGGAAAGTCTGTGAGACTCTTCTCTCCAATAAACCACTCAGAAAACTGGAAGTGGTGCTGTGGCTCAAGTGGTAGAGCGCTAGCCTGAGCTGAAGAGCTGAGGGACAGTGTGCCCAGACCAACAGTTCAAGCCCCATGACTGAACCCCTGCCCTCCCAAAAAAAAGCTTACTAGAGGGTAGAACAGGAAGGAGGAAGCAGGGGAAGAATAGCAACTTAAGTACTATGCTTGGTATCTTGTAGGTGCCTATTAACACTAGTGATTGTGACTATTATTAATAGGCAGCAGGAAAGTAGGAAAGGAGGTAAAATAAGACAGAATGGGAAAAATCTAGAGGCCTGGAAAGTGTGGGGAAGGAAGGAAACAAGGATGGAGGGACTAGGGTTGAGCAGGTAGCCACTTTTAGCAGGCCAAAAGGATTAGGAGGATGGGAGAAGGATTTGTATCTTACCTGTTAGAGACTACAATGAGCCTATGTTTCAGGTATTTTCTCTGTTCTTCAAGATTAACTGTGGGGACACACATAGGAGGTAAGAAGTCAGAGGGTTAGACACAGGGCTCAAGGTTCCCCTAAGTGCAGATAGCATTGACAATCAACCATATCTACCCACTAACTAGTGTGCCCACAGACTAATAATCCCTTAGCTCCAGTGTGTATCTGCGTTTCTGTGTTTAAAAGAAGGGGCTAGCATCAGCTGCACTGAATATTGATGAAAATGAACTAAGCAACTCAAGGGCAGCGATGGGAGGGTGGGAATGAGAGGGAAAGAGGGAACAGCTAACACTAAAAAGGAAAGAAATGGACATATCACCCAACTCAGAAGAAATAGTTGTATTGTCAAAGCTTATAGACTTCACAAACTTTATAGGCCAAGATAATGACAATGGGCCTTGTGAAGGTTAAAATGTGTTTATGGCTTTAACTATCACTATCCTACAATACTGTGACATTTCTGAAATTTATGTAATCACTTTATCTCAACCAAAATTATTTTAAAAAAGAAGGGGCTAGAACCAGGTGCAGTGGCTCATGCTTATAATCCTAGCTACTCAGGAAGCTAAGACCTGGAGGATCATGGTTCAAAGTCAGACTGAGCAGAAAAATCTTCAACACTCTCCAATGAACCAGCAAAAAGAAGCTGGACTGGGGTGTGTGATCAAGTGGTAGAGCAACCACTGTAAGGGAAAAAAGTTGTGAAAGAGAGTACCAGTCCTCTGTGTGCAAGCCATGGCACCAGCAAAATAGAGAGAATGAATGGATTGGTAAAATGTGGTATATGTACACAAAGGAGTTTTATTCATCCACTAGAAAGAATAAACGGATGTCATTTGTAGGAAAATGGATGGGCCTAGAATAAATTATGCTTAGTGAGGTAAGTCAAACTTAAGAGAGACAAATGTCACATGTTTTCTCTCATATGTGGAAGCAAGATCTAAAATATAACTGGACATGATAACCTATATAGGATTTTAAGCTATGACACACAGCAGTCAGACGAAAGGGGATTATACTTAGGGGATGAACACAAAGGTGTAACTTCTCTGAACATTTTTTTTTGCCAGTCCTGGGGCTTGAACTCAGGGATTTGGCACTGTCTCTGAGCTTCTCTTTCTTGCTCAAGGCTAGCACTCTACCACTTAAGCTACAGCACTACTTCTGGCTTTTTCTGTGTATGCTGAGGAATTGAAGCCAGGGCTATATGTATGCCAGGCAAGCACTAAGCCACATTCCTAGCCCTCTCTGAACATTTAAAATACTATTTATTAAAATGAATTCCAGGCAATGGCAACATGATTTTTTGTTTTTTGTATATTTGTCAGTTGTGGGGCTTGAACTCAGGACCTGGTGCTATCCCTGAGCTTTTTCACTCAAGGCTAGCATTCTACCACTTTGAGCCACACCTCCACTTCTGGTTTTCCAGTGGTTAATTAGAAATAAGTCTTACAGACTTTCCTGCCTGGACTGGCTTTGATCCATAACCATCAGATCTCAGCCTCCTAAGTAGCTAGAATAACAGGCATGAGCCACCAGCCCTTGGCAATATACCTTTGTTTTTGTTGTTGTTGTTATTCTTGCCAGTGGTGGTGTTTGGTTTTGCTTTGGGTAGTTTTTCTTTTAGGGGGGCAGGTAAAGGGAGAATGCAGAAAGAGAGGAAGGAAGAGTGAACAAATGCAATGATGCTATTCAGTATATACTATGTGGAAAATGAACCATGTAACTTGTGGGCAGGGATGGGAGGGGAAAACTGGGGGAAAGTGAAGGAAGAGATGACTTTGTCCAAAAAAAATAAATGTACTCATTATCTGACTTATGAAATGGTAACCCCTCTATATAACACATTAATAGTAACAGTAAAATTATTTAAGAGAGCGAGAGAAGCTGATATGGATGTCTGAAAGTAGTTGCACTGTAGGACAAAGTATGGCAATGAAACCCACTTTTTTCCCGGTAGTAGCGCCCGAAAGCCTCATCACGGGGGATCCGGGGATAGAGGAAGCGCAGTGGATTCTCAGGGATGTTCTCCTCGGTGAGCAACTGGTAGTGGCGGATGATTTCGGTCAGTGGGAGGGACTGCAGCACTTCCTTGGTGAAGGGCTGCACAGATCGGATGGGCATCTTACCTGAAGAGTGGATGTAGGAACAGGTTGGCTAGAGACAAGAGCTTGGCCCCATTGCTCCCCACCCAGGTTGCCTAACCCTAAAGCTACTGCAGGATTCAGTACATAGTATAGAAAACCAAAGACAGGCAGAGGGATAGAGAATCAGGTAGAGGGCTGGGAAGGTGGCTCAGTGGTAGAGCGCTTGCCTTGCATGCCTGAGGCCCTGGGTTCAATTCCTCAGCACCACATAAGCAAAAAGAAAAAAGCTGGAAGTGGCGCTGTGGCTCAAGTGGTAGAGCGCTAGCCTTGAGCTGAAGAGCTGAGGGACAGCGCCCAGGCCCAGAGTTCAGGCCCCATGACCAGAACCCCCACCCCCCACCAAAAAAAAGAGAGAATCAGGTAAAAAACAAAGGCTGTGGGGAAAGGCAGGGAAGAGCAGCTGACCATCCTGGTGTTCCACCCAGGAGCAGGTGATTCCCCCTTCTGCAGATTCACTGAAACGCAGCAGAAAAGTCCCAGAGATGGTCTTCTTCAGTAGCCGGCGTTCCTGGCTCCGACTCACAAAGCCCATAATGCGTCTGGTGCAGAAAAAGCAGCTTGAGATACAATCCCCCCGCCCCCCCGCCTCACCATTCCTGTCCCCCTTGTATGGAAACGAGTGCCAGGTTTTGGCCCCAGCTCTGTCACTTAGAAACGTCCCCATCAATGGCCAAGTTCACTTCACTTCCTCCACCTGTGGATTTAAGGCATGAGGATTTGGTGAAATCACACAGACGAAAAGCACCTGACAGCTGGGTGCTGTCATCCTGGCTACTCAGGAAGCTGAGATCTGAGAATTGAGCCTGAGCCTCTTATCTCCAATTAACTAGCAAAAAGGCTGGAAGTGGAAGTGTGGCTCAAGTGGTAGGGTACCAGCCTTGAGCAAAAAGGCCAAGAAAGAAGTTGGGCACTGATAGCTCATACCTGTAATCCTCGCTATGCAGGAGGCTGAGATCTGAGATCTTAGCTCAAAGCCAGCGGAGGGCAGAAAAGTCCTTGAAACTTTTGTTTCTCATTAATCACCAAAAATAGCCCAATGTGGCTCAAGTGGTAGAGTACTAGCCTTGAGCCAAAAAAAGCTAAAGGATAGCACCCAGGCCCTGAATTCAAGCCCTAGGATGAAAACATATACACAAAAAAAGCTAAGGGAAAACATAAGGCCCTGAGTTTAAGCCTCACTAATGGCACATGCATATGCATGTGCATGTGTACACATTCGTGCACGCGAGCGCGCGCGCACACGCACACACACACACAAACAGCACTTTATGAAGGCCAAGTAATGTGCAAATGGACAGGCAGTGAGAATACGGCTCTAGAGTCACAAAGGCCTGGGTTTAAATGCCAGCTCTGTCCTTTGGGCAAGTTCCTGAACTTAAGACTTAGTTTCCTCATGTGAAATGAAGTTGGGAACACTCATCCCTCAGAACGGTCATAGTAATTAAATGAGATAATTCAAGAAAGCATTCCCCAGGCTCGGGAGCACAGGATGCCCTTCATAAAAAATACAGGCCATGACTACCATTATTACAATTGTGGCCCTGTATGAGTTTCAGCTCCATCTCTATTTGCCACTGGGGGTGCACCTAGTCCATTCTGAGTTCAGAAAAGAACAAAGATGGGAAGGGTGACTGAGGTCTTACCCATCATTCCAGAGATCCTTCAGGTGATCATGTACCAGCTCAAGAATTTTGTCTAGCCATGTCCAGAATGGTATCTTGCCAGGAGGGCTCTCTCGCTGGAAGAGGAATGGAAAGGTGGAGCTGTCTCTGTTGGAGGGGAGGAACACTAGAGATGGGGCAGTGTTTGGGCTAGATCGAGCTACACAAGATCCAAGCAGTTACCTTGCTGAAGTCAGTCCAGGACAACAGTGGGTCCTCCATCCTAAAGTTCTGTCCTATGGAACAGACAGTCACAGAGAGGTCACATGACTGAAAGAGGGAAGCAAGTTGAGGCAGGGGTCCTGGGATAGATAGCTGGGACACAAGGCAGGGGCAGACTAAGGCTGGGGAAAGGGAAAGAAAAGGAGATGTGTACCGAAGAGTTTGTTCTTTAACATGCTCAGCTGCTCAGCATCGAGACCTCGGCCGATATAGTTAGAGAACTGCCAACTGAGAGCAGGGCCCAGCAGGCTCCAGGGAGCCAGAGGGGGGCTGGAGAAGAACAGCTGGTTCTGTGGGAATGGGAGGAGAGTCGGATGGTTCCAAAACAGTCCCTCACACCAGGCTTCCATCCCCTTCGATCTATACTCACCCACTGGCCTCATCTCCTACCTGATTTGGGCTGAGAAGATTGTACCACAGAATGGAGGCCCAGGCAATGGACAATTGGTTCATATTAGAAATAATCACCACAGGGAGAGTGTCCGTCTGAGGAGAAGGTAAGAGTCAGGGAGGACGGATATGATGTTCTTTTTCTTTTCTTTTTTTGTTGGTTATGAGGCTTGAACTCTGGGCCTGGGCACTGTCCCTGAACGGTTTAGCTCAAGGCTAATGCTCTACCAGTTGAGTCACAGAGCCACTTTTGGTTTTCTAGTGGTCAATTGGAGATAAGAGTTTCACGGACTTTCCTGCCTGGGCTGGCTTTGAACCATGATCCTCAGATCTCAGCCTCCTGAGTAGCTGGGATTACAGGTGTGAGCCACCGGTGGATATGATGTTCTTAACTGCAGATATTTCCTAGGGACAGGCAGAGGGGGACAGTCCACCCTCAAAGTCTTCAGTTTATATCCTCCCCATGCTGCCCTCCAAATCTGCCCCATGTTCTCCTACTTTCTTTCACTCACTTGCAGCTCCGTCTTCAGACCCTGGTAGATATAGTTGACCGTAAAGCTGATAATGTGCAATTCTTCTGTCACAGTCATCGGTCCCTGTGACAGCCAGAGACAGTGATAAGAGGATCCTTTGGCAAATTCCCTGATTTATTGCTTTGGCAAATTCTCAGCCTTACCTTATTGTTGCCCTTTCCTTGACCAGTTGGACGTTGCTCTACCAGTGTCTGTGGATTGGGAGTAAAGAGAGAGAATGTCAGAGTGGGACACCAAGGTCCCTGGATCTTCCTATTTTGTATCAGGGCTTGGAAAGTTTCTCTAGTCTAACAGTCCTTTATCCCCCTTACCAAGAAGCCGAAGTCCCAAATTAAACCCTCTTTCTGTCCTTTCTCTGGGGTCAAAGTTTTCTGGTTTGAGGTTAGAATGTTGAACTTCCGGAAGCTGTTCCAAGAAGAAGAAAATGAATGGAGATAAAGAGCAAAATTATGTTTATTTTTAAATTTTATTTATTTTTATGTCAGTGGTAGTACTGGGGCTTGAACTCAGGGGGCACTTCCTTAGCTCTTTGGATCAAGGCTGGTGCTCTACGACTTGGGCAACACCTCTACTTCTGGCTTTATGCTGGTTAATTGGAGATGAATCCCTTGCATTTGTGTGCCAGGGCTGTGCTTTAAACAATGATCCTTAGCTCTCAGCTCCCTAAGTACCTAGGATTACAGGTATGATCTACCAGCATCCAGCCAAGAGTAGGATTTTTTTTAGAGTAGTTATTTTTGTTTGTTTTTGGGTCCGGTTGTGGGGCCTGAACTCTAGGCCTGGGCGCTGTCCCTCAGCTCTTCAGCTCAAGGCTAGCGCTCTACCACTTGAGCCACAGCGCCACTTCCAGCTTTTTTCTTTTTGCTTATGTGGTGCTGAGGAATCGAACCCAGGGCCTCAGCATGCAAGGCAAGCGCTCTACCACTGAGCCACCTTCCCAGCCCTAGAGTAGTTATTTTTTAAACTCAGCAGGAAAACAGAAATTCTATTTCATTTCACACTCCCTTCTCTCTTTATCCATGTCCCACCCAAATTCCCCTTTTTATCTTCCCACCAGAGCTGCCAAACGTGGTACAGCACAGATGTCTGCAAGTATCCTGGTCAGGTACCTACCTTTGTGATTGAGGAGGATTCCTGAAAAGAAATTTAAAAATAATAATAATTAAAAAGTACAAAAGTACAGAAGTTAGGAACTTGATTTTTGTAATTAAATACACTTGAGTTCAAACCTGCATCTCAGTAGCTATGTGAGCTCATAGAAAAGACAATCTCTCTAAGCTTGTAGTCTTTTTCTTTTCTTTTGTCAGTCGTGGGGCTTGAACTCTGGGTTTGGGCACTATCCCTTGGCTCTTCAGCTCAAGGCTAGAACTCTACCACTAAGCCACAGAGCCAGTTCCAGGTTTCTGGTCATTTATTGGAGATAAGACTTTCATGGACTTTCCTGCCCAGGCTGGCTTTGAACCACAATCCTGGGATCTTAGCCTCCTGAGTAGCTAGGATTACAAGCATAAGCCACCAGTGTCCCACATTGTTTTCTTTTTTTGTCTGTTGTGGGGCTTGAACTCAGGGCCCAGGCACTGTTCTGAACTTTCTTGCTCAAGGCTAGCACTCCACCACTTTAAGCCACAGCTCCACTTCTGGTTTTTGAATCATTAATTGGAAATCAGTCTCACCAGTACTTTTCTGCCAGGGCTAACTTTGAACCACAATCCTCATATCTCCACCTCCTAACTAGGATTATAGGCATGAACCACTGTGCCTAGCTTGAGCCAGTATTCTTATTTGCACATTTTATTTTATTTTTTTATTTTTTGGTGGGTCATGGGGCCTGAACTCTGGACCTGGTGCTGTCCCTCAGCTCTTCAGCTCAAGGCTAACGCTCTACCACTTGAGCCACAGTGCCACTTCCGGCTTTTTTCTTTTTACTTATGTGGTGCTGAGGAATCGAACCCAGGGCCTCAGACATGCAAGGCAAGTGCTCTACCACTGAGCCACCTTCCCAGCCCCTGCACATTTGAATACCCAACTTGTAGTTGCTCTTGTATGTCATATAGTAGGTGCCCCCAGGAGTAATGAAAGGGGAGGAAGAGTTAGTTCATACTACCTCCAGCCCAGCCCATGTCCTGTCTGTCCCTTGGTCCCACCATGCACCTGTGCTAACTTACTTGTCAATGGAGACTTCTGCCATCAGTGACTCATTGCCTTCCTGGAGTCTCACTAGCAGCCTGTGGGGAAAGGAAGATGGATTGGGAAAAATGGCCCATCTAACATCCTGGAGAGGCCAGGTAAGGGTTTAGCAAAAGCTAAGAAGCTAAGGGAAAGAATTAAAGGAAGAAGATGAATATAAAGGAGAGAAAAAAGAAAGGACAGGAGTGAGATCTGTAAAGGCAAAATATACCAGTGCATAGTGACAGGGCTGGAAAAAGAAGGCAGGTGCTCTATAATGCCAACCGTGTTCGGACGGTGAACTTGCTCCCCGTCTTGAGGATGAGGGGCCGATGGAGAGTTTGGGGCATGTAGGGTTGAGCCTCCACCACAAATGCTCTGCGGACAGAGGTATGGAGAAGGTTATCAGTATGTGTAAGAATGTCCCCTGTTATTTCTTTCCTTCTGCTCTTCCCAGAGCTCCCTCCCTGGCCACCAGACCTGTGGAGCAGATTATGTAGTAACTCTGTGACTTGGGCCTTCTGTAGATGTACCCCATCTTTAAAAGTGTCACCCTTATACGCCACCATGTGGCTCAATTCCTTCAGCTGCTTCAGGAGCTGCCGCAGCTGAAACAATAGCTTTGCTCCAGCTGTGAACCTGGCAACAGAATCCAGAGAGAGAGAATCCGTGAGTTTCTGGGGTGGAGTCACCATCAAGGTTCTGGGAGAGCGGCACTGGTGGCTCACACCTGTAATCCTAGCTACTCCGGAGGCTGAGACCTGAGGCTCATGGTTTGAAGCCAGCACAGGCTGGCTATTATTATTATTTTCTCTAAAGAACTACTCGAAAAATCTGGAAGTCACACTGTGGCTCAAGTGAAAGAGCACTAGCCTTGAGAATGAAAAGTCAGGGACAGTGCCAGGCCCTGAGATGAAGCCCCCAGGACCAGCAAATAAAAAAAAAAATCTGGGGGCTGGGAAGGTGGCTCAGTGGTAGAGCACTTGCCTTGCATGCATGAGGCCCTGGGTTCGATTCCTCAGCACCACATAAGCAAAAGAAAAAAGCCGGAAGTGGCGCTGTGGCTCAAGTGGTAGAGTGCTAGCCTTGCGCTGAAGAGTTGAGGGACAGCACCCAGGCCCAGAGTTCAGGCCCCACGACTGGACCCCCCAAAAAAAATTCTGGGAAAAACTGATTTGGAAGCATATAACAGATTATTCAGCATGATTCCTAATTCAAGAGATGAAAAAAATCAAAGTCATTTCACACATGAAACTGATATAAGGTTTATTAAATGAGAGTTATCTCTAACATGATGCTTGCTGTGTATGATTTATTGTGTTTCACACACATTAATGAAATACACTTACAACCAGCCCATGGGGTAGGTACTAGTATTATACCTGTTTCACAGAGGATAAGCCTGAAGCACACAAAAAAGGTGGCTTTCTCAAGGGCCTTCAACTCGTCAAATCTAGGGGGCTAGGAATGTGACTTAGTGGTAAAATGCTTGTCTAGCATGCACAAAGCCCTGGTTTTGATTCCTCAGTACCACTTAAACAGAAAAAGCCAGAAGCGGTGCTATGGCTCAAGTAGTGGAGTGCTAATCTTGAGCAAAAGAGGCTCAGGGACAGTGTTCAGGCTCTGAGTTCAAGCCCAGGACTGGCCCCCCCCAAAAAAAAAAAAAAGTGGACATGGTGGAGTGTGCCTATCATCTCAGCTGTGGCAATTGTCCAGGCCAGCCTGGATGAAAAAGTAAGACTCTATTTAAGAATTATCAGGGAGGGGAGAAAGGGCCCGTGCTCAAACAACAGAGAGCCCACCTAGCAAACATGAAGTCCGGAGGTCAAATCACAAAATGAAAAGTTACATTGTGCATCAATTCCTTACTTTCTCCAAAGCAAAGACTAGGCCTTTGTGTTACTTGTGTCATGAAGATTAAAAAGCAGAGTACATCAAAGCTAGCCAGGACAGGGGCTGGGAAGGTGGCTCAGTGGAAGAGCGCTTGCCTTGCATGCATGAGGCCCTGGGTTTGATTCCTCAGCACCACATAAGCAAAAAGAAAAAAGCCAGAAGTAGCACTGTGGTTCAAGTGGTAGAGTGCTAGCCTTGATCTGAAGAGCTGAGGGACAGCGTTCAGGCCCAGAGTTCAGGCCCCAGGACTGGACCCAAAAAAAAAAAAAAAAACTAGCCAGGACAGGAAAGCCCATGAGAGTCTTATCTCCAATTAACCACCCCAAAGCAGGAAGTGGAGTAGCTCAAGTGGTAGAGCACTAGCTTTGAGTACTAAAGCCCAGGCCCTGAGTTCAAACACCAGGACCAACACAAAACAAACAGAATATAGCTCCAGTGAGACAAAAGAGTTGGGCTCATTCTGGAGAGGGGAAGCCATTGAGAGCAGTCAGTGTTCCTTGCTGTGTGTAGCCCATGTCATCTCACAAAACACAAGGAGTGGCTCGGATCAGGAGGGGAAGAAAATGCATTTCCTCTTACCATTTCTCCAGTTGTTCCAACCCATGGTCCAGTGGCGCTCCAAGGCAGGCTTTTTGTTGCCGGACTTTCCATTCATCCAACTTTGGCAGCAGTAGTTCGACTAGGGTAGTTAATCGGCCCACCAGTGCTTTACAAGCATCCAGTACCTCCTAGGAGAGAGGATATGAGTGCTGAGTACCTCTGACCACCAGACTTCAGCATCTGACTGATGAAGAGACAAAGAGGCCAAAGTGACAGGGCCAGGGCCCCTAGATCCCTCTATTTGCCCAGCCACTCCCCCTGCCCACTGCCTCTATCCTTTGCCCTCACCTTTCTCCTTTTGTCCAGTTCATTGGCAGTATTCTGCACAAGCTGCTGTTGCGTGCTGTGATGGGGGTCCAAAGATGTTTTCCCTAAATGGCATGAGTAGGAGTTAAACTAGGCGCTTCTTTCCTTCTTCTCCCTTTCCCTGCCCCTCTCTTTTGTGCTGATACTAGGGCTTGAACTCAGGGTCTGAGCACTGTCCTTCTAAGCTGGTGCACTACCACTTGAGCCACAGCTCCATTTCTGGCTTTTTGATGATTGATTGGAGATAAGGTTCTCATGGACTTTTCCTACCTTTGAGCATGGTGATCCTCAGATCTCAGCCTCTGGAGTAGTTAGGATTGCAGGCAGAAGCCATTGGCTACCAAACTTCTTCTCTTTCTTGGCATGGATCTCAGTCAGTGACAGGAAAGGGAAATTTAGGAGGGAAAAGGGAAAGCTACACCATGGACGGGAACCTGGAGCTCTCTGGAAAATTCTGAATATACTAGAAGTCTACTGAATCAAATAAGGACATTTTCTATGCATTTCCTCCAATATTCAGAAGTTGTCCTTCCAGGGCGCTGGTGGCTCACACCTGTAATCCTAGCTACTCAGGAGGCTGAGATCTGAGGATCGCAGTTCAATGCCAGCCTGGGCAGGAAAGTCTGTGAGACTCTTATCTCCAATAAACCACTAGAAAACCAGAAGTGGTGTTGTAGCTCAAGTGGTAGAGCGCTCTCCTTGAGCTGAAGAGCTGAGGGACAGTGCCCAAAGCTCAGAGTTCAAACCCCACGACCAATCCCCCCCCCAAAAAAAAACAACCCAAAACACAGAAGTTGTCCCTTAGCTCTACCTCCAGCCCAGCTTCTACAACACACCCTGGCACTTGCAGTCTTGTATGTGAGGACTATAAACAGTGACATGTGGCTAACGGTAACTATTGCTCACTGGAGCTTTCCCTTTCTGCTCTCCTCCAACCTGGCCTCCCAGCCAACATGCCCCCTGTGCTTTCCTACTTTGGTTGAGAATCACGAATCGGAAGCTGAAGACATCCTGCAGGTCTTTCAGTTGTGTGATGGATTTCACCAGGTTCTGTACAGAGGAAGGGACTTTAATGAGACAACTTCTGAGGGAGGAAGAGGATAAACCCTCCCACCCCAACTCTTGCCACATCCACCGACCTCCATCATAGCTCTTAGATCCAGGATTCGGGATTCGATCTCCACCTGTTCGTTCTCCATGGGCATTTCAAGATCTGGTATGTCTTGCTCCTGAAATAAAAGACTCTGAGCACATTTTAAACTGTAACCTTTCACAGCAGTGGATCCTGTTCTGAGGCAAATTCTCTAAGTTCTTTTTTTTTTTGGGGGGGGTCCGGTTGTGGGGCCTGAATTTTGAGCCTGGGTGCTGTCCCTCAGGTCTTCAGCTCAAGGCTAGCGCTCTACCACTTGAGCCACAGCACCACTTCCAGATTTTTCTTTTTGCTTATGTGGTACTGAGGAATAGAACCCAGGGCCTCAGGCATGCAAGGCAAGCGCTCTACCACTGAGCCACCTTCCCAGCCCAAATTCTCTAAGTTCTTAACAAAGTCCCTTTCTATGCCAAGAGCTTCCGAACACACTATGAAATTCTTCTTACCATCTGAGTCCTCTGAGCCTGATTTAGAATTCTTTGTTCCTCTAGAAGGAGATTAAAGATCAACTCAGCCAATTGAGTAGCACCTTGGGGAAAGACCTAGGTAAGAAAACAGAAAGAAGGGGCTGAGATGTAGCTCAGTGGCAAAGCACTTGCCTAGCAAGTGTAATGTCCTGGGTTCAATCCCCAGTACCAAAAAAGAAAAGATAAAAAAAATACAATTAAAAAAAAAGAAAGAAAAGAAAACAGAAAGAAGGGCTGGAAATGTGGCTTAGTGGTAGAGTGCTTGCCTAGCATGCACGAAGCCCTGACTTCAATTCCTCCATACCACATAAACAGAAAAAGCCAGAAGTGGCGCTAGGGCTCAAGTGGTGGAGTGCTAGTCTTAATCAAAAGAAGCTCAGAGACAGTGCCCAGGCCCTGAGTTCAAGCCTCAGGACTGGCAAAAAAACAAAAACAAAACAAAACAAAAAAACACCCCATAAAACAGAAAGGATTGATCTAATTCAACAAGATTTTTTTTTTAATTTTGTGGGGTTGATAATTTGACCAAAGGCCTTTTGCATGCTAGGAAAATGCTCTTCCACTTATTTACATCCCCAGTTTGCTTCTTTCCTTTAACCTATACCTTGGGACTGTCCTATACCCTGTAGGATGTTTAGCAGAATTTCTGCTACCCAGTAACATCTCTTCTCTTTCATTTACAACAACCAAAAATGTCTCCAGACATTGCTAAATATCCCCTGGATGTGAGTGCAAAATGGCACTCAGTTGAGAACCACTGGCCAGGACTTTTTTTTTTTGGTCGGTTGTGAAGCTTGAACTCTGGGCTTGGGCGCTGTCTCTGCGCTCTTCAGCTCAAGGTGAGCGCTCTACCGCTTGAGCCACAGTGCCACTTCCGGTTTTCTAGTGGTTTACTGGAGATAAGAGTCTCACAGACTTTGCTGCCTGGGCTGGCTTTGAACTGTGATCCTCAGATCTCAGCCTCCTGAGTAGCTAAGATTACAGGCGTGAGCCACCGGAGCCCGGCCCAAGACTATTCTTATTCCCTGGAATGTCCTCCTCCAACCCTTATCTCTGCCCTAATTTCTTTTTTTTTTTTTTTTGGGTCTGGTTGTGGGGCCTGAACTCTGGGCTTGGGCACTGTCCCTCAGCTCTTCAGCTCAAGGCTAGTGCTCTACCACTTGAGCCACTTCCGGCTTTTTTCTTTTTGCTTATGTGATGCTGAGGAATCGAACTCAGCGCCTCATGCATGCAAGGCAAGTGCTCTACCACTGAGCCACCTTTCCAGCCCCATCTGCCCTCATTTCTTGTCTATCATACTCTTATTCATTTTTCAAGGCTGGTCTGAGAAGTATTTCCTAATCCTCTTGGAGGATTATACACAGACACTTGTTTATATATACTAGAGAAGTTACATATTGTTTCAACATTTTGTTGTTGTTGTTGTTTGTTGTGGGGCCTGAACTCTGGGCCTGGGCACTGTCCCTCAGCTCTTCAGCTCAAGGCTTCCACTCTACCACTTGAGCAACAACGCCACTTCTGGCTTTTTTTGCTTATGTGGTGCTGAGGAATCGAACCCAGGGCCTCATGCATGCAAGGCAAGCACTCTACCACTGAGCCACCTTCCCAGCCCCTCAACATTTTTTTTAATGTGTGTTTGTGTGTGCACCAGTCCTAGGACTTGAGTGCTGGCCTTGGGCGCTGTCTCTAAGCTTTTCTGCTCTAGGCTAGCTCTCAATATCCACAGTGAAGCCACAGCTTCACTTCTGACTATTTTGGTGCTTAATTGGAGATAACAGTCTCATGGACTTTCCTGCCTGGGCTGGCTTTGAACTGTGATCCTCAGCTCTCAGCCTCCTGAGTAGCTAGGATTGTAGGCATGAGCCAATGGTGCCCAGCTAATTCAATGATTTACAGTTACCTGCCACCCTCAAGCTTTTCTCTAATATTCCCAGTATTTCCCAATCCTGAGTCCCTAGCCTTCTCCCAATAGTGTTATCTAGACTCAGTCCTCTCTGTCAATGAGCCCCCAAGTCTAGACTCTGCCCTCATCCCCAGGTCTGCCCCATTTCCTTTGCACCGTAGGTACTATTTCTCATCCCAAGCCATACTCTACACTCCCACCGTTAATTCCCAACCCCACCTGAATATCCTGAACATCCCTGTAGAATTTTCGCAAGTTGTGCTGTATCAACAAGCTTTTTGGGTCCTTACTGCAGCGGCCACATTCAGAGTTCAGTTGGTCCAAGAAATGAAAGAATAACATTTTGGCTTTGCAGTCATCATTGCCCAGGGCAGCTTCTTTCCTGAAAACCAGGAGTGACAAGGGTAATACCTCTGCAAGCTCTAGGATGTTGGAGGCTCAGGAGAAAGGAAGCACTTTCTTCTTCCCTCAATTCTTTTTTTTTTTTTTTTAATGCCAATTGTGGGGCCTGAACTCTGGGCTTGGGTGCTGTCCCCCAGCTCTTCAGCTGTAGACCAGCACTCTACCACTTGAGCCTCAGCCCCACTTCTGGCTTTTTCTGCTTATGTGGTGCTGAGGAATCGAACCTAGGGCCTCATGCATGGAAGGCAAGCACTCTACCACTGAGCCACCTTCCCAGCCCATTTCTTAAAACCCTCACCAGTTCTGGTCTTCAATCCAGGCCGCCAAGTACTGTCGAACATCCATGGGCAGAAGGCTTTCTGTATACAGCCGGTGCAGCTGGTCCAGATAAAAGCTGTCAAGACTCTGCAGCAGCTCCCACTGTGCCATTTGGGCTCTAAAGAGATGAGGATTCTCAATGGGACATGTTGCTGGCTTAAATTATCCTTTGTCTTGTGGTTGTTTATCATTACTAATTCAAAATGTTTAAAATATACAAACAACTAATATAGAAAATATTAAAGTTTACACCAACTCCACTCCCAATCTCGGTCCATTTTCTTCTCCTGAAAGTAACCAGTTTTGCCAGGTGCCAGTGGCTCACACCTGTAATCCTAGCTACGCAGGAGGCTGAGATCTGAGGATCATAGTTTAAAGCCAGCTGGGGGGAAGAAAGTCCATGAGACTCTTATCTCCAATAAACAACCAGAAAACCAGAAGTGGCACTGTGGCTCAAATGGTAGAGCATTAGCCTTGAGCTGAAGAGCTGAGGGACAGCGCCCAGACCCAGAGTTCAAGTTCCATTACCGACCAGAAAAAAAAAAAAGTAACCAATTTTAATTTGGTGTATATTCTTCCAGGATGTACTATTTCATAGCTCCAATATTGTAGCCTTTTGTATCAATTAATAATTTTTTGGGGGGTCCAGTCGTGGGGCCTGAACTCTGGGTCTGGGCGCTGTCCTTCAGCTCTTCAGCTCAAGGCTAGCACTCCACCACTTGAGCCACAGCGCCACTTTCGGCTTTTTTCTTTTTGCTTATGTGGTGCTGAGGAATCGAACCCAGGGCCTCAGGCATGCAAGGCAAGCACTTTCCACTGAGCCACCTTTCCAGCCCTTATTTAATAATTTTTATTTATTTTTTTGGGGGGGGTCCAGTCGTGGAGTCTGGACTCTGGGCCTGGGCGCTGTCCCTCAGCTCTTCAGCTCAAGGCTAGCACTCTACCACTTGAGCCACAGCGCCACTACTGGCTTTTTTTTTTTTCTGTTTATGTGGTGCTGAGGAATCAAACCCAGGGCCTCATGCATGCAAGGCAAGCGCTCTATCACTGAGCCACCTTCCCAGCCCTCAATGGTCTTTTTAAAGCATATACAGAAATACAATGTATAGTGTAAGAGTCCTCTAATAGCAGATGGGTTAGGAAAGCACTTGCCTAGCAAGCCCAAGGCCTTAAGTTCAAATCCCAGTATATCAAAACCAAAGAAATATCATCTAACTTAACAGATATATATATATATTTTACCATTTTTCATATATCTCCCTTATTTAAATGTATTTGTGTTTTTATTTATTCAGGAATAAAGATCAGTGTTGGTTTTGAATATTTATGATTCTTGTTTGTTCTGGAAGTTTGTTAGGGGTTGCAGCCTTCTTAAAGAGATAAGGCAGCCGGGCGCTGGTGGCTCACGCCTGTAATCCTAGCTACTCAGGAGGCTGAGATCTGAGGATCGCGGTTCGTTCAAAGCCAGCCCAGGCAGGAAAGACCATGAGACTCCTATCTCCAATAAACCACCAGAAAACCGGAAGTGGCGCTGTAGCTCAAGTGGTAGAGCGCTCGCCTTGAGCTGAAGAGCTGAGGGACAGCACCCAGGCCCAGAGTTCAAGCCCCACGACTGACAAAAAAAAAAAAAGAGATAAGGCAGCGCTAGGAATGTGGCTTAGTGGTAGAGTGTTGCCTAACATGCATGGAGCCATGGGTTCAATTCCTCAGTACCACATAAACAGAAAAAAACAGGAAGTGGCACTGTGGCTCAAGTGGTAGAGGCTAGCCTTGAACACAAAAAAGGCCAAAAGAGAACAACCACACCTGCACCTGCAGTTCAAGCTCCAGGGCTGGCAAGGGGGGTGGGTGGGTAGATAAGCCTACAAATAGTTCATCATGCAAGGAGGGTATCTGCTCTACACAATGTCTAAACAACAAGCAAAGGGTCACTCTGTCCTTTAGCATTTGAATGACATCTGTTAATCTGACTCCTCATGTGGATTATCAAATTTTTGAGGGTTCAATTCGTCAGCACCACATAAGCAAAAAGAAAAAAAAGCCAGTAGTGGCGCTGTGGCTCAAGTGGTAGAGTGCTAGCCTTGAGCTGAAGAGCTGAGGGACAGCGCCCAGGCCCAGAGTCCAGACTCCACGACTGGACCCCCTGCTTGTCACCAAACAGCCTATGCTCTGCATTTCCCCCCCTAGTTTTTCCTGCCCACTGCAAACTGCTATCTTTTTTTTTTTTTTTTATCAGTCATGGGGCTTAAACTCAGGGCCTGGGTGCTGTCCCTGAGCTCTTTCACTCAAGGCTAGCACTCTACCACTTGAGCCACAGCTCTATTTCTGGCTTTTTGGTGGTTAATTAGAGATAAACATCTCACAGATTTTCCGACCCAGGCTGGTTCAAACTCTGATCCTCAGATTTCAGCCTCCTAACCTCATAGGATTATAGACATGAGCCACCAGTGTCCCTGGAGAAAAAGTTTTGAGGACTTCTACCTCAGTTGACTTCGTACCACATCCTTCAGGTCTCAGCCTCTGAGTAGCTGGTTATGGGCATGAGCCATCAGCAGCTTCATTTTAACCCCTTTAATAGTCTTTGGTTTTGCTTCTTTTATTTTTTAAATTTTTGTGGGCTGAACCCAGAGCTTTACCTCAACCAAGCAAGCATTGAACCACTGAGCTACATTCCAGGCCCCACACTTGATCCTTTTTTTTTTTTTTTTGGCTAGTCCTGGGACTTGAATTCAGGGATTGGGCTCTATCCCTGAACCCCTCTGTGCTCAAGGCCAGTCCTCTACCCCTTGAGCCACAGCACCACTTCCAACTTTTTCTGTTTATGTGGTACTGAGGAATTGAACCCAGACCCAGAGCTTCATGCATGCTAAGCAAGCATTCTTCTAGTAAGCTACATTCCCAGCCTGCCATGCTTGATCTTTTCTTTTCTTTTCTTTTTTTTTTTGTTGATCATGGGACTTGAACTCTGGGGCTTGGGCACTATCCCTCAGCTCTTCAGCTCAAGGTGAGCGTTCTACCACTTGAGCTACAGCACCACTTCTGGTTTTCTGGTGGTTTATTGGAGATAAGAGTTTCATGGACTTTCCTGCCCGGGCTGGCTTTGAACCTCAATCCTCAGATCTCAGCCTCCTGAGTAGCTAGGATTACAGGTGTGAGCCAACAGCGCCCGGCTCATGCTTGATCTTGTAAAACTAAATACCTGTAATTCTCTTCTTTTTTCTCAGGCATGCAAGGCAAGGGCTCTACCACTGAGCCACCTTCCCAGCCCCACCTGTAATTCTTTTAAGGAACAAAACAAGCTGGGCGCTGGTGGCTCATGCCTATAATACTAACCTGAGATCTGAGGATCACAGTTCAAAGCCAGCCTGGGCAGGAAAGTCCAAGAAACTCTTATAGCCAACCAGAAAACTGCAAGGGTAGGGATGGGAAAGGAAAGTAAGAGTACTGATGGAAAGAATGACACGGATCAAGATAACTTATACTCATAATCTAACATGGAATTATAACCTCAATAACTACTCAACAATGAAATGTTTTTTGTTTTGTTTTGCCAGTCCTGGGATTTGGACTCAGGGTATGATTGCTGTCCCTGAGCTTCTTTTGCTCAAGGCTAGCACTCTACCTCTTGAGCCACAGAGCCATTTTGGCTTTTTCTGTGTATGTGGTACTAAGAAATCAAACCCAGGGTTTCATGCATGCTAGGCAAGCACTCTATCACTGAGCCACCTTCCCAGCCCACAATGATTTTTTTTTTTTTTTGTCAGTTGTGGGGCTTGAACTCTGGGCTTGGGCTCTATCCCTGTGCTCTTCAGCTCAAGGCGAGCTTTCTACCACTTGAGCCACAGCACCACTTCCAGTTTTCTAGTGGTTTATTGGAGATAAGAGTCTCACAGACTTTACTACCCCAGCTGCCTTTGAACTATGATCCTCAGACTCAGCTCCTGAGTAGCTAGGATTACAGGCGTGAGCACCAACACCTGGCTCAATGAAAATTTTTGTTTTTTTGGGGTCCGGTCGTGGGGCCTGAACTCTGGGCCTGGGCACTGTCCCTCAGCTATTCAGCTCAAGGCTAGCGCTCTACCACTTGAGCCACAGGCCACTTCTGGCTTTTTCTGCTTATGTGGTGCTGAGGAATCGAACCCAGGGCCTCATGCATGCAAGGCAAGCACTCTACCACTGAGCCACCTTCCCAGCCCTGGGCCTGAACTTTTTTTGTTGAAGGCTAGTGCTCTACCATTAGAGCCAAAGCTCTACTTCCGGCTTTTTGGTTTTTGATTGGAGATAAGATCTCACGGACATTTCTAGGCCTGGCTTCCAACTAGAGCTTTAGATCTCAACCTCCTGAGTAGTTAGAATTACAGATGTGAACAAGCGGCATCCGCCAGAAATGAATTCGATTGTTATGTAACCTTAGCAAATAGTTTCCCCTTCAGTTCCTTTACAGTTTATAAAATTTATCACGTCAATCTTTGTATGTAGCTTGTTTTTTAGTTAAGGATCAAAAATAACTTAGCGGTCTGGGGGCGTGGCTCAAAATGGATAAGCACTGGAGACCCTGAGTCTAAACCCCCAAAATAGAGAATGATAATGATGATGACGACAGAGCAGAAGCAAAAACTTTGGCTAAGACATGAAATTATTGCAAGAATGCCAGGTTCTGGTTCTCGGAGGCTGCAAGGGAAGTCTGGGAGGGGAGTGGGCATTAGGATTGCGATAGCTGGGTTGAACAGGGAGGAAAATACTGCAATTGGCAGGCAACAGCTTCATTTCAGAGGGCCGAAGTTGTCTCCTCCGGGGTAACCCCGGGTTCAGCCGCACTTCCCACCCAGGGAAAACCTCGCATCCCGCTCACCCTCTGAGCACCCGTACCTTATTAGGGCCGCAGTACCCGATCCCCACAGTGGCTCAGGTCGTGACTTACAGTCCTCAAAGGGAGCTCAGGTACCAGGGTCAGGACGTCTGCCAGCCCCCAAAACTCGCGAAGCTGGCTGGAGACCGCAGCCACAAACCCGAGCTCCCCGTTCCCACCGAGCACAACACAGCTCGGCCTACGCTCGGCCCCGCCTACCACCGTGCTGCACGCTCATTGGCGCCGCCACAACTCCACTTCTACGCGGGGCGGGACAAATTGCCTCCAAGACACACCTTCCACTCCAGTGATTGGTCAGAAATCTTATTTACTTCCTCCCCTTTACTTTTTGAGGGCGGGACCTAATTAATAATTAGCCCGGGAGCCACACAGCTCATTTTCGAGAATCTTAAACCGAGCCTCAGAAACGAAACTAATTTGGGGACCGAGGTGGGAAGGGGTGGGGCCGGAATTTCGATACGATGGGATCGGAAGGGGAGGGCTGAAGTAATTTAAAAAAACAGTAATTATTAATACTTTAGATTTATAGTATCGTTTTTAATTTCTACGACCACTCGTTCAGATGAAAATGACCATTTCCACTTAAAATGTATTTGTGTGTGTACGTGCACACGTGCGCTTGAACTCAGGGCCTGGACACTATTCTTGAGCGGTTTCACTCACCTTGGTTCTCTACCACTTGAGCCACAGCTCCTCTTTCGCCTTTTAGCTGCCTAATTGGAAATAAGAGCCTCAGAGACTTTCCTGCCTGGTCTGGCTTGGAACCTCAATACTCAGATCTAGGCTTGAGCCACAGGAGCCCGGCCCCACGTTAGAAATTTAAACATGTAGCTTAAGAAAAATAATACTAGTGAGGCACTCAGTGGAGCCTGGAATTAAAAAAAAAAAAAGCTTCTAACTCCAAAATCCCAACATTTAAAATTCCTACATTTTATAGCAATGCCTTTTTCTTGGATAACAAATATAAATCAATCAGAAATTTGGATCACAGTTTTGGATTTTGAGTACACCAGATGCAGTCAGAATATTTTATTTATTTTATTTATTCTTCTTTCTTTCTTTCTTTATTCTTCTTTATTTATTTATTTATTTTATTTATTCTTCTTTATTTATTTTATTTATTTTATTTATTCTTCTTTGGTTACCATCTTTTATACCCCAAGATTCCCAGCCCCCAAATCCAAACCAACGCTTTTGAATAAGGCTCAGCCCCAGGAGGGAGGTGAACTTACTACTTCTATCAATGGAGCCATGGTAATTGTATATTCCCAGTCACTCACATCTGATGTACTTCTTAAGCCCTCCTTGCTAGGGGTGTTGACCTCTGTTTTTGCATGGTAATACTCAATCAGCTTGTGAACTCCAGCCTTAAAAGCTGGTTTAAGTGCAGCACTGATGAGTATGCCAGCAGGCCCTGCTGATGCTCCTGCCATGTACATCAGAAGCTCATAGCCCAGATCTATAGTCCCCTCTTTGCCCCGTTCCTTGGCCTTTTCAGAGCAATTCTGAACAGCATAATACACAGCTGTGCCCAAGTTGTAGTAGGTTCCCACTCCTGGCAACTGTTGGAAGAAATTGTATGCTCTCTGTTCCTGATCATTGTCACAGTCCACCGTGGGGATGGAGCGCGGAGTCCTCTTTGGGTTTGGCTGATCCCTGGCTAACAGCTGCAGAGCAGAGGCCAGGGCTTCCACTGAGACTTCTTTCTTTGTCCTATTGCCTTTCTGGAGTCCTTGAAGATGCTGGATGAGGAGCTGTGTAGCATTCACACCTCCCAAGCGGAAGAGCTGAAGCTGCAGGGCCCAAGCATCAGAGTGACAGCCAACTTCTTCCAGGGCATTTCTTAGAGCCAGACCTACCAGAAACTTGGGTAGAGGGGCCATGTAGTTGAAGCCAGGCAGGGACTTTGGGTGCAGGGTCTGGCAGGATAAGGAGTCTGAGGAGGGCCGTTGAGGTCCTAAAGATGAAGGAAGGTACACTTTGGAGACATTTGCCTGCTTTCTCTCTGAAATGGCATCCACAGGAGACAGCAGGAGACAGCAAAGAAGCAGCTCAATTGCTGTTGTGACAAGTTTGCTGCTAGGCATGTCTGGAGCAAAGTACCCTAGAAAGGAGAGAACCCCAAACATGTGAATTATTTTTCTTTTTCTTTCTTTGCCAGTCCTGGGGCTTGAACTCAGGGCCTGGGTACTGTCTCTGAGCTTCTTTTGTTTAAGGCTAGCACTCTACCACTTGAGCCACAGCGCCACTTCCGGCTTTTTCTGTTTGTTTGGTACTGAGGAATTGAACCCAGGGATTCATGCATGCTAGGCAAGTGCTCTACCACTGAATCACATTCTCAGTCCTGTGAACTATTTTTCTAAGGGATGTAGTTTGAAAGGAGTCCAAGACTCAAATAGGGGATACCTCATCCATCACCTACTTCCAAGTTTTTTTTTTTGGGGGTGGTGGTGGGCAGTACAAGGCATTGTGCCGTGCCGTAGCTTTTCACTCAAGGTTGGTGCTCTATCTCTTTTCTTTCTTTCTTTCTTTTTATTTATTGTGAAAATACTGTACAGAGGGGTTACAATTACATGGGCAAGATAATGAGTACATTTCTTATCAAGCATTGTAGCCTCCTCCTTTGTTTCCCCTTTCCATCCCATCCCCCCCCCCCCCCCCCAGCCAATCCTCCTCCCCCTGCCCCCACCAAAGTTGTAAAGTTCGTTTTTCGACATAACGACTTGTACATCTCATTGTTGCAATGGGTCCACCTGTATCCCTATTTAAACGATTTGTTTTTTTCTCTTCCCCTCCAAAATTATAACAACATCAAATACAGTGAAAGCAGGGGTTATACCGTGGGGGAGGGACATACAAAGCAACAAAGAAATAATCTTATAATTGTGTTTGAAACAATCGCATGAAAGAACTTTCTCTTTCTTTCTTTCTTTCTTTCTTTCTTTCCTTCCTTCCTTCCTTCCTTCTTTCTTTCCTTCCTCTCTCTCTTTTTTTTGCCAGTCCTGGGGCTTGAACTCTGGGCCTGGGCTCTGTCCCTGAGCAAAGGCTCAAGTACTTGAGCCACAGCACCAGTTCTGGCTTTTTCTGATTAATTTATTGAAGATAAGAGTCTCACAGACTTTCTTGTCTGGGCTGGCTATGAACCATGATCCTTAGATCTTAGCTTCCTAAGTAGGTAGGATCACAGGTTTGTGGCTACCAGAGCCCAGCTTTTTAGTTAAAGGATTTGAAAACAGAAAACCCAGCTGCTCCCACTTGGTCTCGCCTATTTTCAGGTCACAGGGACTTCCTCAGTTTCCTTTCCTCTCATTTATTGGGCCCCCCAATTTACCACAAAGTCCAGTCATAGAGAAGTGAGCTGCTTTGATAGGTTGGGTTGCTCCTCAATCCTGTTGTGTCCAGGTCTCTCTCATGAGGAAAAGAGACACTTGCTTTCTGTGTCCAGTAAAGGACACTGGTTCTGCAAATATTTGATTGGTTGCTCAAACCTTGTCCTCTTGTCAGACATTTAACCTCAATACTGAAGACCTTGACTTTTGATGCGCATGATAGGAACCAGAGAAATTCAGAATTGGATTACATGTTTATGATTCTCTCATTTTATTTCTCATCAATTTATTGATTTTGTGCTGGTACTGGTGCTTGCATTCAGGGTCAAGGCACTGTCTTTTAGCTTCTTTCTTTTAAAAAAAAATCCATCATGGGCTTGAACTCAGGGCTGGAGCAATGTCCCTGAGCTTTTTTGCTTAAGGCCAGCACTTTACCACTGTGAGCCACCGCTGTACTTCTTCTGGTTTTTAGACGGTTAATTGTAGATGACAGTCTCATGGACTTTCCTGCCTGGGCTAGCTTAGATCCACTGATCCTCAGATCTCAGCTTCCTGAGTATCTAGGATTACAGGCATAAGCCAGTGCCTGTCCTTTAGCTTTTTTGCTCAAGGTTGGCACTTTACCACTGAGTCATACCTCTATTTCTGGCTTTTGTCCCCCTCTGGTTAATTGGAGGTAAAAGTCTTAAAGACTTGTCAGCTCAGTCTTCAGATCTCAGCCTCCTAAGTAGCTAGGATTTCAGGTGTAAGCCAACTAGTGCTCTTTTCAATTAAAAAATTAAGTTAGCATTTTGTAGTCCCAGAACTAAAAAGGAGATGTTGAGTTCAAGATCAGGCTGTGATTCTGTGTTCTCCCTCCACCCCCCTTTTTTTTTTTTGTCAATTGTATGGCTTGAACTGAGGGCCTGCACTGAGGGCCTGGGCCCTGTCCCTGAGCCTTTTTGCACTCAAGGCTAGCACTCGACTACTTGAGCCACAGTGCCATTTCCGGTTTTTGAGTGGTTAATTGGAGATAGGAGTCTCACAGGGGATTTTTCTGCCTAGGCTGGCTTTGAATCGAGATCCTCAGATCTCACCCTCCTGAGTGGCTTGCTCTCTTCCTTTTGTGTAGCTGGGATGACAGCTATATATCACCATGCTCAACTTATTGGTTGAAATGGTATTTTACTTTGTGCCAGGCTGGCCTCAAACCTTGCTTCTCCCAATCTCTGAGTTGCAAGTAGTTAGCATTGCGGTTGTGAGCATGGCCCCAGTCCCAACTATTGTTCTATAATCCCACCTTCTCTCTTACCCTTACCAAAATTACTGGGAAACCAGTAAGCTGATTTTCCTCCCCAAATATAAGGATATAGCACTTGCAAATATTTACTCTTTTCGAACCAGACTTTGCCCTTGTCACCTTTGTCCTGTGCTGAGAAACTGGCCTTTTTTTCTTTTTCTCTTTGCTCAATTTATCTCATTTTCTTTCCTTCCTTCCCCCCCCCCTCATTTTCTCCTTGTCAGTCCTGGGGCTTGAACTCAGGTCCTGGTCTTGTCCCAGAGCTCTTTTACTCAAGGTTAGAACTCTACCATTTTGAGTCAAGCTCCACTTCTGGTTTGGGGTTTCTTGCCTGGTCTGGCTTTGAACTTCGATCCTCAGATCTCATCCTCCTTAGTAGCTAGGATTACAGCCATGAGCCACTAGTGCTAGGTGCTGTGTGCGTGTGTGTGTGTGTGTGAGAGAGAGAGAGAGAGAGAGAGAGAGATCCTGGTGCTTGAATTCAGAGTCTGAACTCTGTCCCTGAGCTTTTGTGTTCAATGTTGGGACTCTACCACTTGAGACATAGCTCCACTTCCAGCTTTTGGGTAATTGATTGGAGATAAGTCTCAAAAACTTTCCTGGTTGGCTTGGCTTTGAACTGTGATCCTCTGATCTCAGCCAACTGAGTAGCTAGAATTGTAGGTGTGAGCTACTAGGACCTAGTTTGCCCCATGTTCTTTTGCCTTCTTTCTTTCCCTTCTTCCATCCTTCCTTCCTTATTCCTTTCTTCCTTGTTTTTTCTTTTCTTTCTTCCTCCCTTCCTTCTTTCTTTTCTTTTGTGCTGGTACTGGGAATTGAATTCAGGGCCTGGACAGCATCCTTTCGCTCGCTCACTCAAGTCTGGCACTGTACTATTTGAACCACACCTCCAATTCCAGCTTTTTACTGGTTAATTGGAGATAAGAGTCTCATGGACATTCTTTTTTTTTTGGGGGGGTCCAGTCATGGGCCTGAACTCTGGGTCTGGGCGCTGTCCCTCAGCTCTTCAGCTCAAGGCTAGCGCTCTACCACTTGAGCCACAGCGCCACTTCC